GTAGTGGTAGTGGTAGTGGTAGTGGTAGTGGTAGTGGTAGTGGTAGTGGTAGTGGTAGTGGTAGGTAGTGGTAGTGGTAGTGGTAGTGGTAGTCGTAGTAGTAGTAGTAGTAGTAGTAGCAGCCGCAGCAGCAGCAGGTTATCTAACTTCCACAGCTCATCTAGCTTCTGAGTCACTGCCACCAGCTGTTCAGAAAGCAAATGAACATTCACACAAAAGTACATATTTAATCTTTCGCCAGATCTTTCGCCAAAAAGAATTTACTTTCGCCAACTCGAGAAAAAGCTTTCGCCAAATGAGATTTTGATATGTTCCGGGTCATCGTCATACACACTGCTGACTAGGACCTTTAGATCGACAACCATATACAAAGAAACAGAAGAAACACCCGGAATCACATTGACATGGCTAGCGGCCAGCATCTGTCTTTCTCTGCCACTCAGAAAAATGACCAGCCGATTTGAGGACTTCCGACACAAGACCCCAGAACTTCCGGAATCATTCTCAAAAAAGACATAACGGTAAATGACTGTGTAGTGTATTCTAAAACCCTTGGCTGGGTTCGCTGAAACTGCAATCGGCTTAGCAGCAGAGCCTTCCCGCGCCAGGCACAGGCCCGTCTGGGTCCCCCCTCCAGCTGCGTCCAGCGGCGAGCTGTCTACTCCTGTCCGCTGGAGTTCGTGATGGCGGATGGATCTTGTGAACCTACAAGGAGCTGGCTGGATCGAACATTGGCTGGATTGGTCTTTGACTCATCTCTTTTATCTCTTTTGATCCCACCTGGAACCCCAAACAACCATTTCCTATGTAAAGGATTTCAATTGCCATATTGGAACAAAAAATGTTTCTGGTTGTTTGGGGATGTTTGGGGTTCCAGGTAGATGTGTCTTGTTGACCTCCGGAAGGCCTGGTTGACCTCCGGAGGTCCCGAATGGATTCTGGAGGTCAACCGAATCCGGGAGCGAAGGGATTCTCCAGGTGTTCACCCAACATGTCTACCGGTGGACTAGGCTCCGGGCTACGGACCTACAAGTCGTTTTGGCCCCAAGTAGACGGAGTAGGCCCGTTCCTAAGGTTGGAAAGCTCACAACGTTGAACCTCTCTGAAACTGGCAAGCATTCATTGCCCTGCCCTCAGCAACCCTGACAGCAAACCCTCTCCTGAGAAGCCAAGTTCTGGGCCATTTCCACACTGGCCTGGCAACCAGCTTGGACTCTGGACGCTTTCTTGGGGGGGTGGTTGAGTCATCAGATCAAGTTTCATTAAACCAAACTGACAGCTACTCTGGCGCGCACGCGACGAGCGCAAGAAGACCTCTGGCTGAATGAGACTGCATGAGCCGTCCTGATGGAAGGAAAAAAGAGTAACTTCCTTTCAGAACCAGCTGCAAGAAGGACCCCTTTCAAAAAATCGATACCAAAGACCCCGGTCTCGAAGATCCGGATGAAACCCGCTTGGGAGGGAGACCCCTTCTTCTCAGAAACCCGCACCGGTCAAAAGTACCCAGGTTTCAACGGGCCACAAATTCGTCCATGATCGTCCAGCCTTCACCACAATCTGATGTGCTTCATACATGCGATCCATGCATTTGGCCTCAAACACGGGTGACGCTGCGGCTGCTGGCCGACTTAACCCAAAAAAACATGATGACATGCTCCTCCATCCTCCCTAGAATGGAGTCTTTGTCCATGTTCTGAACATGAAAGACGGCGACAACCACACCATCTGAGTGCCATGCGAGGCAAATATGATCCGCTTTGCCTGAGACGTGCCACACCGCTTCGGTCGCGGCCATTCTCCGTCCACACCGGTTCGTTGGAGAACTGAGAGAACGCGGAGAACGCAGGAGAACGGTCGCTTCCATTGTCGAGCACCTTCAGTGTCACAGTTATTTTAGCGCTCTTTTGCGGTGAGAGGTGAAGAAGGAGAAGAGGGAGAAGTGACATGATTTCGCCAGGTTTCGGACGAAGGAGAGCTGGAAGATAGATGAGAAGGGATGAGAAGGGATGAGCCGAAAGCTTCCAAAGACTCTCCAAACGACAGGTCCCCAGTTGGCGGCTTTGCGACCAAAGGTGTTCTGGGGGCGGTGTCCTTTTTGATGGATTCGAAGCACTCCAACCCCGGCTTCCTGCCACTAAGCGTCTCATTCGGTCTGGAAAGCGGTTGGACTGAAAGCACTTGTCGAAGCAAGTCTTTCTCACCTTGCAAAAGGCGATCCGGAGCTCCGGTAAATACGGAGATCGCACACGAAAGGCCAGGCAGCCCCAAACAGCCGAAATGCCCAGCACGCCTCTCCCAGATTCCATCGACCCCAAACGAACTCTCGGTCCGCCCGAGAAGGCCAGATTGTACACAGTTGCCCAAGTCAAATCCCCAGGCGGCTTCCACACAAGAGTGTTATGGCTATCTAAGATGTCCAGCATGACTTCTCCTCCACAACTGGCTCAGCCGTACGGAAACCTTGCAAACTGACTGCAGCCAACATGTCTGTGTTCCTGTCCCCTGATCAGTCAGCACCCTCTGCTCAACGCTCATTATGAGTTTGATGAAGAGACAAAAGACATGCGGCGACATGCGGCGACCTGGTTCTGCAGCAGCTGCAGTACCACTGCATTCAACGATTGCTGGAGGTTCTCCATATCCTCGCTCGCTCGCTCACTCACTCCCTCACTCACCCACCCACCCACGCACGCACTCACTCACTCTCCCTGTTCCCTACCTTCTCTCACTTTCCCTGATAAGGTCCCATTGAGATCTCTGCGCTCCATGATGTCATAGCACAATCTTAGGTACATGGAACACACGCACAGAAACAAACCATCTAAAAGATTAACACATGGTTACAGCTGTGCTGTCGGTGAGGTCAATTTATCTCACCCAAGCAAGCATAGACACAGGGGGTTGTATTGCCAGTTTGACCCCCTTGTCATGAAGAAAACTCAATGAAAACCCATTGTCTGAAGCAGTCCTGTTTGACACTTTGAAATGGTCTGCACGGTCTCTTAGTATGACATGTAAAGCGACACACCCCAAGCATGTGCACCCCAGCCGTGGGGGAGCCAGCCAAACTACCATGGGCTTCGTGACCCTGCATGCTGGGCAACATGTAGAGATGCTGGGTCCTGTCTCTGTCATTGCCCAGCCTCGAGCCTCCAC